TTAAGTGTTCTGGAATTCCCATTCTTTTTAATTATCCATAATTTGTTATGATCCACACAATCAAATGTTTCTTCATAGTCAATAAAACAAAAGCAAACACTCTGGTGGCGTAGTGCCTAAGGCACTTGACTGCTAACCAGAAGGCTGGCGGTTCAAACCCATGAGCCACTCCTCGGAAGGAAGGTTGGGCAATCAACTTCCATTGTGATACTGCCTCGGAAACTCAAGGAGGGGTTGCTATGAGTTGGGTCTGACTCCACGGCACATAACAACAACAACAAACATCTTTCTGGTATTCTTCGCTTTGAGCCAAGATCCATCTGACATCAGCAATGATATCCTTCATTCCATGTCCTCTTCTTAATCCAACCTACATTTCTGGAAGTTCTCTGTCAATATACTGCTGCAACTGTTTTTGAATTATCTCAGTAAGATCTTACTTGCATGTGATATTAATAATATTGTTTGATAATTTCCACATTCTGTGGGATCACCTGTCTTGGAATGGTTACAAATATGGATCTCTTCCAATCAGTTGGCCAGGTAGCTGTCCTCCAAATCTCTTGGCCTAGCCGAGTGAGTGCCTCTAGTGCAGCATCCATTTGTTGAAACACCTCAATGGGCATTCCATGCATTCCTGGAGCCTTGTTCTTCACCAATTCCTTCAGTGCAGCCTTGACTTCTTTCTTGAATACCATTGGTTCTTGATCATATGCCACCTCCTGAAATGAATGAACATCAACCAATTCTTTTTGATACAGTGACTCTGTGTATTCCTTCCACCTTCTTTTGATGTTTCCTACATTATTCAATATTTTGCCCATAGAATCTTTCAGTATTGCAACTCGAGGCTTGAATTTTTACCTCAGTTCTTTCAGCTTGAGACATGTCGAGTGTGTTCTTCCCTTTTGGTTCTCCAACTCCATGTCTTTGCACATTTCATTATAATAACTGACTTTGTTTCTGGAGCTGCTCTTTGACATCTTCTGTTCTGCTCTTTTATCTTGTCATTTCTCCCATTCACTGTAACTCCTCTCCATTCAAGGGCAAGTTTCAGAGTCTCTTCTGACACCCATTTTGGTCTTCTCTTCCTATGTTGTCTTTTTAATGACCTCTTGCTTTCTTCATGGATGATGTTCTTGATGCCATCCCACAATTCTTCTGGTTTTCAGTCATTAGTGTTCAGTGCATCAAATCTATTCTTTGAATGGTCTCTAAATTCAGTAGGGATATTGTCAAGGTTAAATTTTGGTTCTTGTGAACTTGTTTTAACTGTCTTCAGCTTCAAGTTGAATTTGCATATGAGCAGTTGATGGTCTGTTCCACAGTCAGCTCCTGGCTTAGTTTTGGCTAAAGACATGGAGCTTCTTCATCGCCTCTTGCCGCAAATATCGTCAATCTGATTCCTGTGTGTTCCATCTGGTGAGGTCCATGTGTATAGCCACTGTTTGTGTTGTTGAAAAAAGGTGTTTGCAATGAATAAGATGTTGGTTTTGCAAAATTCTGTCATACAATCTCCAGTGTTATTTCTATCACCAAGGTCAACTTTTCCAACTACCAGTGAGTCTTCTTTGTTTCCAACTTTTGCATTCCAATCACCAGTGATAATCAGCACATCTTGATTGCATGTTCGGTCAATTCCAGACTGCAAAAGTTGGTAAAAATCTTCAGTTTCCTCATCTTTGGCTTTGGTGGTTGGTGTGTAAATTTGAATAGTAGTCGTATTAACTGGCTTTGCTGTAGGCGTGTGGATATCCTATCACTGACAGCACTGTACTTCAGGACAGATCTTGAAACATTCTTTGGACACCTAGTCAGCCCTGGCCCAGCTTGGCCAGCAGCCAGGGAGTCCAGGGGGAACAGGTTCCACGCTGTGCAGAGGCCAAGGCCGGGGCTGGGAGAACCGAGCCCAGAGGACCTAGAGCCTAGAAGAGGGATCAGGACTCTGACTGCCAACCCCTGCCCTCAGCTTCCGATGGGCGGCCATGCCGTAGGGGCCCAGGAGGACAGAGGGCGCCCTTCTAGGCAAGAGCCAGGCAGTCCTTCCCAGGGGTTGGGGTAGCATGTGCAGGCCTGAGCACAGGCATAGGCTCCTCACCACCCACCACACACACCCAGCAGAGCAGATGCCCACAGCTGGGAGCAGACACAGGGAGATGTTTAGCGGTTCATAGATCAGAGCCTTTAAACGACACAGACCCTGGTGAGCACTGTGCAGGGAGCAGCAGCTGCGGTGGCAAGGCCGGGAAACCAGAGTACTCACCCCTGGTGACGGGTACCGAGGGACCCCTAGGGCTGATGGCCAGAGCAGGGCTCCACCCAACCATGTGAGAGGGGCAGGGTGTCCAGCAGGCTTCCTGGAGGAGGCGGTCTCCCACAGAGGCTGAGTGGAAGTTGGCAGAGGCAGGGCGTGGGGAGGCAGAAAGAGCTGCCGCCGGTGCACAGGCCCGGTGTGGGAGCGAGCGGGGCTGACCAAGGAGGTACCTCTGCAGCTTAAAACATCAGTGACTCGCTCCCGTGTTACTTCTGCTTTGAGAATGGCCCTTAGTGGGAAACTGGAGACGCAGGTCGGGGAAAAGAAGACGAGACACAAGATGGGGCCCTGAGCACCTGGCTGTGTTGGGTGAAGGGGACCCCTGGGTGGGGGAGGCAGAGGCGAGGGGGGAGTCAGGAAGGCAGGTGGCTGTGGGAGGGAGGGTGCTGGCGGCTACTAGGGTGGGGTATGGGCTCTTGAGAAAGAAACGCAGAGGGCCGGAAGGGAGCCAGGTCAGTGTGGGTGCTGACAGTCAGGGGGCTTACAGCCCGAGGCAGCAGGCGTCCTGCCGGGTGGATGTCAGCCCGGTCCAGGGAGACAGGGAGCCACTGGCGGGGGCAGGGTGGCTGTCGTGAGGTGGAGACGGGACGTCCCAGGTGGTGGGGACCACAGGGTGGGCAAGCAGGGGGCACCCATGGGAAGAGACAGCCCTGCTGTGTGGAGGCCAAGTGGGGGTAGGTTGCAGGAGACCCAAACGCCCAGCTGAGCATGCCTTCCAAAGCACCAGCGTGGGTCCCACAGCAGCCCCAGCCAGGGTCTCGGGGTCCTGGGGGAGATGCTCGGGGTGTCCTGGAGCCACGGAGGCCGGTAGGGCAGGCGAAGGAGGTGGAGGGAGGAGGTGAGGAACGGGGTGAGGCGCGGTGAGGCCAGGAGGGACCTCACAGCAGCGCCCCGCGCCGTGGGCTCACATCAGCCGCGCGGGGGAACCCAGCCCGTGCGGGCCACCCCCCGTTGAGCCTCTCCCCCGTCTCTCTGCAGCAATTACACCGCCCTGCTGGGAGTGTGGATCTACGGCTTCTTCGTGCTGATGCTGCTCGTCCTGGACCTTTTGTATTACTCGGCAATGAACTACGACATCTGCAAGGTTTACCTGGCGCGGTGGGGGATCCACGGACGCTGGATGAAACAGGAGCCCCGGCGGTGGGGGAACCCCGCTCGGGCTCCTCGGCCAGGGCAGCCGGCCACGCAGCTCCAGCCGCCCCCCGACCCCCAGCCACAGGCCCCCCAGGCCGTGCACACGCTGCGGGGAGACGGCCACAGCCCCCCACTGATGGCCTTCCAGAGCTCGTCAGCCTGGTGAGTGGCCGCCACCGAGGCCCAGGCTGCTTTGGGTGACTCGCCTCGGTGAGCTGGGAAAATGCCACATGGTTACTGCTGTTGTGCTTGGCTGGCTGGTTACCCGATCGTGGGCTTATCTCGTGGTTTGCCAAGAAGGGTCTGAACTGCCCCTGGGATATCGTGTGCATGGACAGGAAGTCTGAGTGAGAGGTGGAACAAGAGCTTAGGAGCAAGCAAAGCTTACAAGTCCATGCTTAGAGTCTGGCGTGAGCGTTGTTGTCTTTCAACATGAAATGGAGTTGTGACTTTCCTGGCTGCCAAGGCAAAACGGGAAATTAGATGGTTTTCCAAATGTGTATGGTCTGAGCAAAGGAAACAGATATGTCTGTTGGAAGCAGGGGGAAGAGTTTGTCCAGCATTAGATTAAAAAATAACCGTATTTCTTGGTTCCTTCCATACATGTGCATTTTGTCATGTAACGGAGCCTTTGGGGTGATGCAGGCTACTGCCGAGTGATGGCTCAGGAGAATGGAACCCCAGGAGAGCCCTGTTACCCTGTCTGAGGGGCGTGTTCACACTTGGCTTTATCTGCTGGGAGTCTTATTTCCATCCAGCCTCAGACTGGTGGACGGGCATGACCAGACTCAGGAGGCCTTGGGCAGCCAGTGTCCAGTGCTGAGGATAGCGTGGAGGGCCTCTGAGTGTTGGAGCAGGAAACTCTGTGAGGCTGGCCCCCACCAAGGGCAGGGACCCACCCCGGGGACAGGGGGCCGGCCTGGGCCAGGCTGAGTGCAGCTAGATGCCCAGATCAAGAGGTGGGTGTGGGGAGGCTGCTGCCGTGGTTACAGGTTCTCCTCCTAGGACATCAGGGTCCTGAGCCCAGGCCGCAGATCCACCCCGGAACGCACCTGCCAGTGGGACACAGAGTCAGCAGCAGGGACCCCAGTGGGTCGGAGGCTGAGCAACCTCGGGTCTCAGCCTTGGTGAGTTACTTCACCCCTTAATCGTTCTTCCTGTGAAGGCATCGAGGGTGAGAATGCCCCCCGTCCCCGCGACGGGTAGCCTAAGGATTTGATTTGCTGCCTGGCACGGAGCAGGCATTCAGCTAACCTTGGCATCTTTGGTGGACATGCAGCCAAGCTAATGGCCATTTAAATAGCTACCAGTTAGTGACCTTTTCAATAATGAATGATGTCAATAATGAGATGCACTTAAATCAGCGTGTGCTCATTGATTAGGTAATTGCCCATCTGCCATGCAGGAGGCGTGGCCCTGACACGTCTGAGCGGCTGGAGGAACGGCTGGTGCCCACTCCCTCCCTCACTGTAGAGCTGAGGAGTGGAGGGGCGGCCACATCCTGTCTGTCTCCCTCTGGCAACTCTCGATCTCAGTCTCTCTATCTCTCTTTGTCTCTCTCTGAGGCCCTGGGAATGCCTCACACCTCCCTGTGCGTGGAACCAGTCTTTTCTCAGTTGCCCATCCTCACACTCTCCCATGCTAACGTCTTGGGGTGGGGGTGGCAGGCTGTTGCTGGCACTAACAGACCCTGCATTGCTGTACCTCCAAGTCAGTGTGTCTGGTTTCGACAGCTCCCCCGGTGCTTCCCTTGCTGTTACTGCTGTGCCTGTCCCTGGCAGCCTCCACCTTGTCCACACTGCACACATTGTGCACCTACTGTGTGTCAGGCGGGGAAGTCGGCTGTGAAGAGGGAGTCGCCTGCCCAGCCTGTTGCATGAGCTGTCATGTCTGAGAGAGGCTGGGCTTGCAGCCCCGAGTTCTGCCGTCCCAGTGGGCACACTGCGTCTTCCTCCTTCCTGACTCGTGATGGTGTTCTCTTAACCAGCTTCCTGGTGATCATTCAGAAACCCTACACCTGCCACCCACGGGACCCCTCCTGGCTCCGTCCTGCCCACCAACACACTGTATGACACTGAGGGAGGGATTTCCTTCCTGGAAGTCAGTTTTGCCAACTGAGGAGCTGAGGGGAGGGATGGGGGTGGGCTTGGGGAGTCAGAGGACCCCTCTTCTCTACTGTCTAGGGTTTTCCTTGGGGGAGACTCAAGGAGCTGTGTGACACAGAACGTCCCTATTGTCACAGGCAGGGTGAGTGCTTGACACGAAGAAGTAGGTTCAGTGGTGGAGATGTCTGGTGCAGCCACACATGTGCTGTGTGTGCCTGTGCCCCTAGAAAACGCAGCAAAGTCAGTACTGCTCGGGCCACATCCTGGGGTGGAACTCTGGCCTGCCGAATGGAGTTTCACTGACGGGGTGCCATGCTGAGACAGGGTCATGTGGCCTCGGGGATCTAGTGGGGTCACTGAGATGGGCCACACGGGGCTCGGGGATCTAGCCGGGTCACTGAGATGGGGCCATGTGGGCTCGGGGATCTGGTGGGGTCACTGAGATGGGCCATGTGGGGTTCGGGGATCTAGCCGGGTCACTGAGATGGGGCCATGTGGGCTCGGGGATCTGGTGGGGTCACTGAGATGGGCCACGTGGGGTTCGGGGATCTAGCCGGGTCACTGAGACGGGGTCATGTGGCCTCGGGGATCTAGTGGGGTCACTGAGATGGGCCACACGGGGCTCGGGGATCTAGCCGGGTCACTGAGATGGGGTCATGTGGCCTCGGGGATCTAGTGGGGTCACTGAGATGGGCCACGTGGGGCTCGGGGGTTTAGTGGGATCACAGACGGGGCCACATGGGGCTCGGGGATCTAGGTGGGTCACTGAGATGGGGCCACATGGGCTCAGGGGTCTAGTGGGGTACAGTCAGAAACCCAGGCAACAGCAATCCAGCAGGAAGGAAGGGCCCTTCACCTCTTTGGGCCTCCTGGTGGGTGCTTGTGATTCTAGAAACATTTCTGGAGCATTTACTGGATTCTAGGCCCTGTATTTGGACTCACTGAATTCTCACCACGACCCCACACACGCACAACCAGAGCCCAGAGAGGTGAAGTCCCATTTGCAGGGACACTGGACCAGTAAAGGATGGAGGGGCACTGGAACCCGAACCCCCGCCTCCTCCTCACACCCTGCCTTCTGTGGCGGCAGGAATCCTCCACCTTCTCTGGATGTAGGCATCCCTCCCCCTTCTGTGGCCGCACCGGAAATGACACCGTCTCATGGTTGCTTGTATGGCTGTCTCCTCCTCCCCGCCTTCAATTGTTCAATGTGACCAAGGTCTCCCCAGCAGCCCACCCCACCCTGAGGGCACAGGGACACACGAGGCTCATGGCAGACGCATGTAAACCACCACGTAATGATGTCACAGGGCCGGGGGTTAAGGAAGAGCTGGCTTTACGGACCCGAGCGGGAGGTGGGGGTGGGGAGGCGTATGGATGGCTGGCATGGCCCCAGCCATGGCTGAGCGCGTGGGGGCCGGAGCCACGCGGTGGGTGTGGTGCGGTGGCTCGGTGGCTTCGCGTGTCACAGGAGGCGTGGCTGGAGAGGCCGCTGGCTCGGGGCGGACTGTGGTCAGTGTCTCTCCAGGGTAAGAGCTCTAGGCTGATGCTGCTTCATCCCCAAGTTGTCACCCGGACCCTCCGAACACCCGCGTCCCAGCAATCGCAAGCTCTTCGTGGGCTTCTCGGCTGCCCAGATCCGAGGGGTGACTCCCCTGCTCACGCACCTGCAGTGACTCCCGCAGCCCTGCTGCACCGGGGTGCCCCGCCTTCAGCCCCAGCCCCCCTGCCCGGCTCTCCGCACCCTGCCTCCCCTCGGGCTGTCCTTTCCAGCAGGAGGCCTCCTCATTCCTCCCTGCCCCTGACCCACTGCTTTGCCTGCAACTTTATGTGGTTGTAGGGTCCTTCCTCCTGGGGACCCCTGCCACGTTGTTGCTTGGTTCATAGCTTCTTTTGACCTTGGTTGATCTCCCCCTGTCTTGACTCATGGCCCCCTCCCCTCCATTGAGCACACGCCTCCCCACCCAGATGAGACCACCCAGGGCACAAGAGGCTCACTCTGCCCTAAGACCTTCCCTTCTGCTGCAGGCAGCTGTCTGGGCTTCTGACTGTAACCCCTAGGGCCCCAGGCTCCACGGGCCCAGGCTCATTGTGGCATCCTAATCAAAGAAACACCATTTGGCAATGACATAGTCCTCAGGACTCCTCAGAGCCTCACTCAGCCACTTAAGGAAATGTTAGTGTGTGTGAGACCAAGGAGGCTTTGTAATGCTGCTCAAAGCCTCTCCTCCCACCGGGACCCCGAGAGCCCCCGCAGGTGGCTGCTGCTCCTGGCTGTCTTGTCCCGTTCTCCCACTTCCCGCTCTCAACTCTGTGCTCTTTTCTGAGCCCCGCTCCCCATCCCGGTTCCTGACCATGTGGACGAGCTTCACCAAGTCACTTAGGTTCCTCTGCACGGAGCTCCCCCAGCTCCCCTCACGGAGGGCGGGGGGCTATCCAGCAAACAAGATTCTGCGTCTTTGAAAGCAGGAGGGGAGAGTTGCAAGGATGCGCTCACCACCTTGGTCCCTGGGTTCCTCATCATTAGGGTCGTGCCACCTCTTGGGGGTCTCACAAGCTAATCTGAGACCTCACTGGGAAGAAGGGGATCGGGAGCCAGCCCTGGGGAGGCTTAGTGAGAGACAGGCAGTGTGTTGAGGACCGATCCAGGGGCCTTGTCACCAGCTGGAGAGGGCATAAGGACAAGCTGGAGAGGGAGGGACGGCTGTGCCCTGGAGGTCAGGGCTCTTCCAGGGAGGACACCCCTACCCCCAGGGCCTGGCTGCAGCGAGGGGTTACTCTAGGCACCCTGGTGGGGGCTGCCCAAGGGCTGCTGAAGCTGCCCTGGCCCAGTCCACACAGACGGGGAGAACCCCGAGCAGATGCAGTAGGGGAGGCAGAAGCAGTGAGCTGGGCAGGCCGCTGGTCCAGCCTCTCAGCCCAGCTGGGCCCCAGCAGGGACTCCCAGACCCTCCAAAACCCGCAGGAGGCCACAGGCACTGCCCTCCGTTCCACTCTCCTTAATAGTCAACGCTGGATTATCAGGACCCAGAGAGGAAGGAGAACGGGGCAAAGGAAAGAA